TGATTACATAAAATTAAAAAGTTTTTGGACAAACAACACAATGCATTCAAAATTAAAAGGAAAATAGGAAACTGGGAAACAATTTTATAGTAAGTTTCTTTGATAAAAGTCCTGTTTCTCAGTTATATAGGGAACTGACCCAAATTTATAAAAATAAAGGGCATTCCCAAATTGATAAATGGTCAAAGGATATAAGCAGGAAGTTTCCATGAGAAGAAACCAATGCTATCAATAATTGTATGAAAAAATGCTCTAAATCACTAATTGCTAGATAAATGCACATTAAAATAACTCTGAGGTACTACCTTTCACCCATCAGATTGACTAAGATAACAAAAAAGGAAACAAATGCTGGAAAGCATGTGGAAAAATAGAAACATTAATGCATTGTTGATGGAGCTGTGAACTAGTCCAGTCATTCTGGAGAACAATTTGTTACTATGCCCAAAGGGTTATGAAACTGTGCATACCCTTTGAACTAGCATTATTGCTACTAGATCTATGCCCAAGGAGATCAAAGGAAAAGAAAAGGACCCATATTTACAAAAATATTTTATCAGCTTTTTTTGTGGTAACAGCCAATTGGAAACTGAGGGGATATTAATCAACTGAGGAATGGCTGAACAAGTTATGGTGATGGAATGAATGTGATAGAATACTATTGTGCTGTGAGAAATGATGAGGGGGATGGTTTCAGAAAAACCTAGGAACCTTAAATGAACAAGTACAAAGTGATGTGAGCAGAACCAGGAGAATAATGTACCCATTAACAGTAATATTGAAAAAATAATCAACTGTGAAAGACTTAGTAACTCTGATCATTACAATGATCCATTATCACTCATGACAAAAAAAATGCTATTGACCTATATAGAGAGAACTAATGGACTTATGAAAGAGATTTTTCTTTTTTTTTTCTTGCCCCTTTCCCAAAGATGGCTAATACAGAAATATGTTTTGCATGCCTTCATATGTACAATGGGTATCATTTTTCTTGCCTTCTCAATGGTAGGGGAAGGTTGGAAGGAGAGAGAATGTGGAATTAAAAATAAATATTTTTAAAAGGAGAAAAAAATTGGTCAGGCAATCTTCAACTCCATAAACATTTTCTGAAAAATACATGCAATGACACCTTTAACACAAACAAACAAAAAGCAATTGACCAAAAAGTATAGAGAACATAGAATACTTGGTGTCTTCATAGACGACTGAAGAGCAAAATTATTTTCTGTCTTTTGCCACTTGGAAAACTGAACTTCACAGAATGCAGTATGGTATAAAGTAAACACAATTGGATTAGGAGTCAAAAGACCTGGGATTCCAATGCTGAATTTACTGTTTACTACCTGTCTGACCTGGGGCAAGTCTCTGGGTCTCAGTTTCCTCATCTATAAGGTGAAAAAGATTAATTTTATTTTTAAGATTCCCAGAGCCATTATTATGACCCAGTATGGTTTTGGTGGCTTTTTTTAATAGTAATGAAAACAATAGTTTCCAGACAGACTATTTTATGGGAGGGGGAGGAGAGGAAGTAATTCTTTTTATTCAGAACTCAGGCTGCTGAAGTAGAGGAGTGGAAAATTCCAATCTCCCTTAGAGCTCCACAGTGGGGTAATTGCCTCTTAAGCTTCACATGAGATTTACTCTTGGAAATCACCTCCTGATAATGTAACAGTAAAGCAATGGGATTCAGTGAGTGAAGAAAAAAATTAGGTTGAATAGAAGGTTGTGTGAATCCTAATCCAAGGCATATCCCTATTTCGGAGCTTCAGTTTAATTCAGCAAAGATTTATTAAGTGTTTACTGTGTGTAAGGCCCTGTGTTAGGCACAGGAGATTCAAAGACAGAATATAGCTGTTGTTTTACATGAATGAATGAATGAATGAATGAATGAATGAATGAATGAATGAACATTAAGTGCTTCCTGTGCGCAAAGTGCTAGAGATACATATAGAAGAATAAGACAGGATCAGCTTTTAGGAAGCTTGCATGGAAATGAGGCAACAAAATGTAAATATATATGGCATGAGGAAAATCGAGATGGAAAAAAACACCGACAACTGGGATGTTGGGAACCATAGAAGGTTTCACAGAGGAAGGGGTGAGTAAGCTGGACTTCAAAAGAAGGCTTTTTCTGTGAGAGGAAGATAAGGAGGAAGGACATTCTAAACATGACGGAAGTTCTGTGTGACTGTATGCAAGCAGAAGATGGAGTGTTCAGTTTGGGAAGCTGCTAGTAACATAGTTTGGCTAGAAGGTAGGCCTGGTAGAGCAGAACAAATGAGTAAAGGCTGATTAACTAACTTTTATGAGTTGCTGTGGCCAACATTCTGGCAATGAGCATCTCAAAATTTAGCTAATCAGGTTCTCAGACAGTAGTCTATCGCTAGGCCTATCTTTTCTGGGCCATATTCAGAGTTTCTCCAGCTTAGTAGGACCTTGAAAAAGTTGCATTCCACAGAGAACATAAAGTTATCTCCATATTGTGACGAGGTGCTGGTGTAGAACTTTAGGAGAAGGTAGCAACTAAATACCTTAAGAATAAACTTAACTATTAAAATATTCCCATGACATATGGAAATAGCCTCATCATTACAATCTGTAGATAGGGAGATTATGGCATTCAGAGAATTAATAACTTTGTAATGCCTATAGATAAAATAAAGAGTAGAAAATAAGGAGGTAACCATACACATTTTTGTCTTATAAACTTATAATCCAGTATTTAAACTTGATAAACTACTCTTCCAGCTATCATGGTGTATGAGTTGACGTATTAAGGTAAAAAACTTTGGGTAAAAAATTGGGGTCAATATATAGAGAAGATTTTCTTTCCCACGCTGCCTTTATTTTTAGGATATATAGCTACTGAGGAATAGAAACCACTTCAGTTTTCTCATTTGTAAAAATGGGTTAATATTTAAAGTTGTGTGAATCAAATTATATCTGTCAAGACGTCAGTTGACAAGCATTTATTAAACACTCACAATGTGGCAGGTAGTGTGCTAGAGGCTAGGGATACAAAGAGAAAAGTGAAATAATTTAATGGGGAAGACAACATGTAAATAACTAGGTACATACAAGAAATATTTGGAGTAGCTGGAAGATAGTCTTAGAGAAGAAGACATCAGCAATAGGTAAACCAGGAAACACTCCTGCAGGTGATTGGTTGAGTGTTGAAAGAAGCCACTGAAGCTAAGAGGTGAAGGGAGAACACTCAAGGATTGGGGGACATTCAGTGCAACAGCTTGGAGATGAGAGATGTAGTTTTATATGAGAAACTAGGCCAAGGGAGCCGGACCATATAACGTGTGGAGGGAAGTGAAGTATAAGAACACTTTGAAGATAGGAAGAGGCCAGGTTATGCAGAACCTTAAAGAAAAAACACAGGACTTCAGTAGGGAAATACTGGAGTTTACTGAGTTGAGGGTGGAGGGAGGTGACATGGTCAGACCTAGGCTTTAGAAAATCACCTTGGCAGCTGAGTGAAGAACGGATTGTTGGGGGGGGGGAGAATACTTGAGACAGGGCAACCAAATGGAAGGCTATGGCAATAACTCTAGATGCAAGGTGATGAGGTCCTGATTCATAGTGGTGGTTGTATGAGTAGAGACAAAAGAAACTATATTGTGAAGGCAAAATAACAGGGTGTGGCAATAGATTGGATAAACAAGGTGAGTAAGACTGAGGAGTCTAGGATACTCCTGAGGCTGCAGTCCTTGATACCTGAGACAGACGATGGTGTCCTTGAATATAGGGAATTTTTAAAAGAGGAGAAAGGTAATGAGTTATGTATTGGATGTGTCGAGTTTCAGATGCCTATGGAATATTGCATTTGAGATGTCCAAGAAGCAGTTGGTGATGTGAGACTGGAATTCAAGAAAAAAGTTAGGACTAGAATAGATTTTCAAAGGGCTGATAATTGAACCCGGGGGAACTGATGAGATCAACAAGTGTCAGTATAGAGTGAAAGGAGAAAATATACCCTGGGCATGACATGGAGAAAGAACCAGCAAAGGATGCTGAGAAAGAGAGACCATACAAATAGGAAAAGTTTCAGAAGAGTGTGGTGTCACAAGAGCCCAGAGAGGAGAAAGATTCCAGGAGGAGAAGGGGATTGACAGTATCAAAGACTGCAGAGAAGCTAAGAAAGATGAGGATTGAGAAAAGGCCACTTGATTTGGCAATTAGAGGATCACTGGTAACTTTTGAGAGGACAGTTTCGGTTAACTGATGAATTCAGAAGCCAGGGTGCAGAGTCCAGAAGTGAGTACAAGAAAAGGAAGTGGAGGCAGAAAGTTTTGATAGCATTCTCAAGGAAAGTGTTTTGTGACTGTATGTAAAACATTATTCAAACGTATTATTATAATTATACATATATGTGAATATTTAGTTTTTTTTAAAAGTATGTAGGCCTGTAATTCCATTGGTATAGAGAGTTTCTGCTGGGGAAATTCCATGATTTTGTAATCTTAGATAATTTCCTGCTATACCAAGCTTCACTATGGTCACATAGCTAGTAGGTGTCAAAGGCAGAATTTGAATCCCAGTCTTCCTGACCCCAAGCATCCCCTAGCCAGGATGCCATGCTGTTCCTTCTCATTTGGACATAAATGGCAAAGACTGAATTCAAGGCAACCTTCTGAGAGAGCTGCTCTCTACTCTGCCCTCAGCATAGCATTCTGACTCTATCTGCTGTTTTGTAAAGACCAGAACAATTAAGCCTTTTTGCTTCTAGAGTATATGGTGTCAGGTGGTAAACAAAGAACTTTTCTGTTGTGGAAATAAATCATACCAAGAGAGTAAAATTCAAGAATGCTCTCAGCCCTATTAATTATTGCTACTACTGGCTATTTGATCAACATAACGGGAGACTCTTATCTTAGAGAAAGACGAGGGAAACTCAAGATGAAAATTTGTTCTTTAGAATGAAGGTATAATTGAAAGAAGAAAAAGGTGGGGGCAACTTACAAATAATTTTTTTTTAAATTTTTTTCCAGGATCCAGCTCAGGGTCAAAATTGAAAGGACCTGAACTAAGTTTAAAAGGCACACAATATGTCGTTCAAGCTGACCAGACGTTATATCTTAAATGCAGGTGAGTGATGGGGTTGGTTTGGGACACTGATTTAAGTACACATCAGTTCCAGTCTTTCTTCTCCATGTCTAGTCATTCCTTGGTACCATTTTGAACTAGTCTCTTGGGGAGGCGTAGTGTGTTAAGTGATCTCCCAGTGTCCAAGAAAGATGAATGTTGCTTCAAGAACACCAATTCAGTTTAATTCAGTTCGGTCCAATTTAATAAGTATGCATTAAATGCCTACTACATGCAAGGAAGGCACTGTGCTGAGTGAGATACAAAGATGAAAATGAAATAGTCTCTGACCTCAAAGAGTTTATAATCTCTAGGAAGAAATAACGTAGTGAGGAAATACTCCATTGTGTATACACACACACATGTATGGATATGTGTATGTACATATATATATTTGGTAAATATGAATATATGTAATTATATAAAAACTATACATATACATAGATATATCCATATACATGCATGCAAATTAAATTTCAAAGGACCAAGAAAGGCCTCATGGAGGAGGTAACACCTGAGGTAAATCTTAAGGAGAGCTAGGGATCTCCAGAGGCAGAGCTAAGGAGGAAAAATATTTCAGTCATAGGGTTGTCTGTACAAGGTATGGAGCAAAGATATAGGTGTTTGTTTATGAAGAGCAGCAATAAGAGAAGTCAGGCTAGAATGTACCATGCATGAGGAAAAATGATGTGAAATCAGGCTAAAAAGATAAGTTTGAATTACATTGCAATGGACTATAAATGTCAAATGAGGTCTTTATTTTCACCTGGAAGCAATAGGGGTCACTAATGCTTTTTAAGGAGGGGAGTGACATGGTCAGACTTGTGTTTTAAGAATACTGATTTGGCAGCTAGGCGTAGAAAAGTTGGATTGGCAAGGAGGGAGGCCAGAGGCAAGAAGGCCAATCAGGAGGCTGTTGCAGTAGTCCAGGTAGGAAGTCATGGTAGCTTCATTGATTATGATAGCTGTAAAAGAGAAGTGGACAGCTTCAAGAGTTACGGAAATAGAATTGACATATAGGCGACTGATTGAATATGAAGGATTAAGGACAATAAAGAATCGAGAGTAACTCCAAGGTTGTGAATCTGGTTGACTAGGGGTATGGGAGTACCCTTGACAAAAGTGAGGAAGCTAGAAAGAGGGATTGGTTTGGGGAAAATGATAATGGTCTCTCTTTTGGACTTTGTTGAACTTGAAATATTTATAGGCCATCCAGTGGAGGGAGATAATCAATAGGCAGTTTGTGATGTAGGATTGGAGCTCACGATGAAGGACTTAATATGTTGAAAACAGTACCTTTGGGAGTTTATAAGAGAGCCAGGAAGATCAAAAGAGAGCCCAGGACATACCCACACATAGATGATGATCCAGACATGGATGATAATCCAGAAAAGAGACTGAAAAGCATTCAGACAGTTAAGAGGAGAACCAAGAGACATCTATATCATGAAAACCCATGGAGGGAAGGAGGCCAGGGAAGAGGGCATGATTAAGAATGAGGTCTGAGGACAGGTCGTTGGATCTAGCAATTAGGAAGTAATTGGTAACCTTGAATAGAGCAGTTTCAACGAAATATAATATGGAAACCAGACTTCAAGGTGTTAAGGATTGGAAGATGAGGAAATGGAATTTAGATGAGTATGGATGGCTTCTTTAGGAGTTTGGCTATGAAAGAGAAGAGAGATTTAAGATAACAGCTTGAGGGGATAGCAGGCTTAAAGGAAGATTATTTGAGTATGGGGAGATCTGGGCATGTTCGTAGGCAGCAGGGAAAGAACCAGGAAAGAGAGATCTAAGATCAGAAAGGTAGAGAATAATTCCAGGGGCAAATTCATAGGAAATATAGGTGGGGGGAAAAATCAAGGATCCAAGTAGAAAGGCTAGCTTTGCCAAGGAGAAGAGTTTAACTCTTTCTCTGTAAGTGGAGAAACGAAGAAGAGAATAGGGGATGGTTTGCATGGATTTGAGCTGGAGAATTGGAAGCATGAAGGAGTAACCAGATGGTGTTTATTACTTTGATATAAAGTATGAGTCAAGATCCTATACTGAAAGGGAGAGAAAAGGGGAGGTGTAGGGGCTATGGAATGACAAGGCTTTGGTTTGTCAGGTTTAAAAAAAATAACATGGACTAAGAAGAAATCAGCCCCCAAATCTCTTTGACTCTTTATTTTAATCATTGTTTTAAAACTTTTTTTTAAAAAAAAAGTGTTGCTTTTGTGTGAAGAGGAAGATTGCTACAATTAGAGAGGACCCCAAAATAGCGGTGGGAATAAAATGAATGGTTGGGAACTGAGGCTGTGCCACAATACCCAGATGTAATTGTTTTTTGTTTCCTTATCTTTGATTGCAGGGGGGAAGTGGCCCATTCATGGTCTTTGCCTAAGACTGTGAGTAAAGAAAGCAAAAGACTAAGAGTCACCACATCTGTCTGTGGGAGGAATGGTAAACAGTTCTGCAGCACTCTGACCCTGGGCAGGGCACAGGCCAATCACACGGGCTACTATAGCTGCCGATACTTGTCGACACCTGTTTCAAAGAAAAAGAGAACAGAATCTACAATCTATGTATTTATTAATGGTAAGAGTGCCTCTTTCTAAGTGTTATTTGGCATTGCATTCCAACTGGCCACAAATTAAGCATATGTCTTTAGAAATGGGGATATTTCTATTTGATGTGAATAAGGTTCATTGAAACACTGAATATTATTGAAAAGAGAATTCATGAAAGCATTAAGGAATGACGGGATCGAGTTTTATCCATTTCCATAGGTATTTTAAAGGGCTAAATGATCATTTTACATGATTTTCTTGAGGCCCACATAGAAAATAAAACTTGTCATTTAGAGCTACAATAACCTCCTATACATGTTCATTCCTGTGTTTGACCCCAAAACAATTATTCAGATGTTGTAATGCCAGCCCGTTACCTGTATGAATGTTTCCCTAACAACTTTATTACTGTTTTTATTTTGGAAAATCCAATATATGGTGGTGTTTGCCCTTAATTTAACAATGATCTTCAATTTTCTGGCACGTTACAAAATATATTCTGACAATGTCACTGTTTCTTGTTCATCGCTAAGTATTTATTACTGAATAATCACAGGAAGTACCTTTCTAGATAACAAACGAAAAGACAAAGAGGATCACTTTTTGTTGTTCCCATTTTCTTAGATTTTATTGCTATTGACAGTGGGTAAATTTAATTACGTGATAGAGAGAAAAATCAAACAAATTAGTATATCAACTTTGTTGAGCCTGAAGAAGTACAAATTGAAAAGTTTGGGGAGGGGTCTTGTTTTGCAGAAAGAGTAAGGAAACTGAGCAGCTGTAATTTCATAATTACTTACTTGGCAGGGGGTGGGGAGGGGTGTCACTGATATTCTCAGAGCTTTAGGTCATATTACATAAAATACTAAGTCCTTAGTGACCTTCTAGTGGAGATCTCAGGTATAGAAAGTAGCCAAAAACGGCCATCTGCATTGGTGGTACCATGGGAATCCTTTCCCTTGTAAGCTAGCTTTGGAGTTGCACTGAGGAGTCAGTGGGGCCTGACAAAATACAAAAAGAATTTGTACCTTTGATGGGATTCCCACTGACTCACTGAAAAGTGACTCGCCTACAAGGGAATGCACCCCCTTTAACCATTAGTATATCTGGTTCCAGGTTCTGTCAGCATCTTCCAGAGCTCCTTTCTTTGTGTGGCCCTTCTAGCCTTCCTATCCTCCCTATGAGGCAGGAGGGGGTTCCTACTTCAGTTCCTTGACAATTATATTTATAATGAGCATATTTGTTGTCCTGGATTTGTTCCTCTTTTCTTTGCACTCTTTAAAAAGAAAATTAAGAGTGGACATTGATTTAAGGGCTAGCCTAAAGTGGAAAACTTCAGTGAAAAGCTGATTTTCACAAGGGATTTGAAAGACATGGAGATCTGTGAGGAATAAGGTGGAAGCCATTCAGTAGCAAAGGGTTTGGTTGAAGGAAATTTTAGGAATTTAGAAGAGAGATAAATGGACTAGGGATATAAATGGATGAAAACAAGATTGCTGTGATTGATGCTATGTAGGAAGCTCTTTTGTGGAAGAGTTAAAAACAAAAGAAGTTTGGCGGGGCAATAATTTTGTGGTAAGGGTAACTAGGTGGTATAGTGGATAGAATGCCAGGTCTGGAGTTAGGAAGCCTCATCTTCATGAGTTCAAATCTGGCTTCAGACACTTACTAGCTGTGTGACCCCGGGCAAGTCACTCACCCCTGTTTGCCTCAGTTTCCTCATTTGTAAAATGACCTGGAAAAGGAAATGGCAAACCACTCCAGTATCCTTGCCAAGAAAACCCCAAATGGGGTTGTGAAGAATCAGACATGATTGAAAAATGACTGATACAATTTTATAATAACCATAATAACACTCACATTTTATAGCACTTTATGGTTTACAAAACATTTTCCCCATTCTAACCCTGTGAGGTAGGTAGTTTAAGTTTTACTATCTCTATTCTCTAAGAGGCCAGAATTACAGATCAGAGAAGTTATCGTGGTCACATACTAGTAAGTTTCAAAGCCAGGATCCAAACCAAAGCCTATAGACACCAAGTTCACAGATCTTTCCACTCAAAAATGGCTGCTATTATTTCTCTCCTGTTGCTCTAATTTCCACTACAGCTACTCATACTCTTCTTCAGTCATTTTTCTCCCTGCTTCCTACATGCACATGCTTCAGCTATCTTAATGGCCACTTAGGCATTTGCTAAGTAGCTTGTACTTTGTGCATTTTTCCAATGGGGCTATCATCAATGGCCAACTTTGACTTGAAGCTCTATCTCGTGGTATGGCGTCATGAGGAAATACTCAGCCTTTTTTTATGGTGATTGACAAATCCTACATGATGAAGCTGAAATCCAGGAGTAGGAAAATAGATGGAGAAGTTCTACAGTTGATAGCAGTCACTATGTCCTTGTCAGAGGAAAAGAGGTGTGGAAGAAAAGGTATTTGACAGGTGGAGAAGAAGGTTCAAGATAAAGAGAAAAGACATTATCAAGAGGAGGAGATGAATAATTCAGAAAAAAAGAGAATAAGAACCATTAGTGGATTAGGGAAAGTCATACCATATTTTATATTCAGCCCTATTCTCCTTGTCGTGTTACAAAACCTACCCTCCGGGGTTGCTGAAGCAGGAAGCCCTTCCCCTATTTCCCTTATATGAGAAGAGCAGAAAAATTCTTTCTCTAAAACAAACTCCAGAGAACTTCCTTCTAAATGTAGAAAGGATGGGCAAGGGTATTGTCCCATTTGGACACACCCCGACTATAGCCAGAAGTTCTTTCCTCCATCTCTCCAGTTACTCACATTTGTATGTTACATATGTGATCATTCCTGCCTACAACTCTGCCACAGTCTAACATGTAGACTGGAGAAGTGAAATGAATGTAAATGACTTTTCTTTCATTCGCCCTGCTTGGAAAATGACATGTAAAACATTGTAAACCTTAAAGTGCTATATAAATGCCAGTTACTTAAAATTTTTTTCTAGTACTTTACATACTTAACTTGTATTTGCATCACAGCATTTTGAATTGCATGTACTCCATGACTACAATTAGAGAGGATCCCAAAGTAGCAGTCTCAATAAAATGAATGGCTGGCATCTTGTATAACCCCTCCCCCACCCGAGTAATAATTTCTTCACCAACCACAACATAATACGATCTTTGAAACTCAAAGTGAAATTTCAGAAGTGTAAGATTTTGTCATATCATGCAAGATAGTTTACCATTCACATTAATGGAACATTAGGATTAGAAGATAGCAAATCTGTAGCATAATATTGGACTAGGAGTCAGGAAGATCTGGATTCTTATACTGCCTCCAACACTTACTATGTGACCTGGGGTAAGTCATTTAACCACTCTGAGCCTCAGTTTTGACATCAACAAAATGGGGTTAGTAATAATAATAATAATAATAATATATATATATATATGTATCTATACATATAATGCTGACCTTTCAAATGCTATGAAGCTCAAATGAGCTAATGTACGTGAAATGCTTTGCAAATTTAAAGTGCTGTATCAATTGATGGTTACTATTGACTGTATTCGTAGTGGTCAAATTCTTGTTGAGTTGTTTCAGTTTTGTCCAGCTCTTCATGATTTGCCCAGGGTCACACAGCTAGTAAGTGTCTGAGGCCAGATTTGAACTCAGGTCTTCCTGACTCCAGGCCCAGCACTCTATCCGCTTTGCCACCTTTGGCACGCAGTAGGCACTTGTTAAATGGTTCTACAGGTGTGGTAGAGACCGGGAAACTAAAGTGTTCCCAACACTGTTGTTCGCTCATTTCAACTGTGTCCAACACTTCATGACTCCATTTGGGTTTTATTGGCAGAGACATTGGACTGGTTTGCCATTTCCTTCCCCAGATTATTTTATGGATGAGGAAAACGAGGCAAACAGGGTCAAGAGTCTTGCCCAGGGTCACATAGCTAGTAAGTATATAAAGCCAAATTTGAACTCACAAAGATGACTCTTCCTGACTCCAGGCCTGGTGCTGTATCCACTGCACCACCTAGTTGCCCATAGTATTCACTACTATACTATTATGAAATATATAATGATTATGGCGTGCAATAGAAGCAACCTGGAGAAAATATTAAATGAGGAACATTATATAGTAATAAGATAAATTTTAAAAATAAAACTTTATAAATGAGTTGCTAACTGTTGTTTTTCAGTGATGGTAGCATTATTGGAATGAATTTTCTACAGAACACTTTTTTGAATGAGTAAGTTCTGGCCAATTAGGTGGCGCAATGGCACCAGGCCTAGAGCCAGGAAGACTTAGATCAAATCTGACCTCAGACACTTGTTAGCTATGTGACCCTGGACAAGTAATTTAACCTCTATTTGTTTTAATCCACTGGAGAAGGAAATGGCAAAACACTACAGTATTTCTGCCAAGAAAATCCCAAATAGGATCATGAAGAGTCTGACATAACTGAATAACAAAGAAGTGTGATATAGTAAAAAAAAAAAAAAAGAGCAGTGGGCTGAGAATAATAAAGATCTGGGTTTGTATCCTCACTCAGATACTAGTTGTGTGTTCCTGCGCAAGTCCCTTAGCCTCTGTCTGCCTCAGTTTCCCCACCTGTTAAATGAAGAAGTTGATTAGACGAACTCTGAGGCCCCTTCCGTTTCTAAGCCTATGATCATGAATTAACTGCCATACAGCAGTGAGTATGTCCTGTGCATTTCAGGGTTTCACTGAAATGAGCCTGGAAATAAGCGGTGTGACTGTAACATCTCAGAATTTCAGAGCTGGAAGGGACTTTAATTTCAAACTTGTCCCCTCATTTGACAGGTGAGGAAATGAGGCCCAGAGGCATTGCAACTTGTTTTCCATCACACAGTGAATCTGTGCTAGTGCTGAGACTGGGATCCAGCTGGGTCCAGTGGATAGAATATTGATATTGGCATAAGGGAAGCCTGTTTTCAAGTCCTGCCTCAGGCACTTCCTGGCAGTATGACCCAGGCCAGGGCACCTCACCTCTCCATTCCTCAGTTTCCTCAACTATAAAACAACGA